ATTAAGGCACCAGATGTGGACATCAAAGCTCCAGAGTTTGACATTGAAGGACCTGAGGGAAAAATCAAGGGCCCCAAGTTCAAGATGCCATCAATCTCTGGTCCAAAGATTTCTATGCCAGACGTTGACTTCAATCTGAAAGGTCCAAAACTGAAAGGTGATGTTGACGTGTCCGTTCCAAAAGTGGAAGGAGATATTAAAGCACCAAAAGTTGATATTGAAGGCCCAGAAATTGAAGGACCTGATGGTGGTTTTAAGATGCCAAAGTTCAAAATGCCATCATTCGGACTGAAGGGTCCAAAAGTGGAGGGTCCAGATATTGATGTGAAAATCCCTAAAGCCGATATTGAAGTTAAGGCACCAGATGTGGACATCAAAGCTCCTGAGTTTGACATTGAAGGACCTGAGGGAAAAATCAAGGCCCCCAAATTCAAGATGCCATCAATCTCTGGTCCAAAGATTTCTATGCCAGACGTTGACTTTAACCTGAAAGGTCCGAAACTTAAAGGTGATCTCTGGTACAAATATTTCTATGCCAGATGTTGACTTCAACCTGAAAGGTCCAAAACTGAAAGGTGATGTTGACGTGTCCGTTCCAAAAGTGGAAGGAGATATTAAAGCACCAAAAGTGGAAATTGAAGGCCCAGAAATTGAAGGACCTGATGGTGGTTTTAAGATGCCAAAGTTCAAAATGCCATCATTCGGACTGAAGGATCCAAACGTGGAGGGTCCTGATGTTGATGTGAAGGCACCAGATGTGAACATCAAAGCTCCAGAGTTAGACATTGAAGGACCGGATGGAAAAATCAAGGGCCCCAAATTCAAGATGCCATCAATCTCTGGTACAAATATTTCTATGCCAGATGTTGACTTCAACCTGAAAGGTCCAAAACTTAAAGGTGATGTTGACGTGTCCGTTCCAAAAGTGGAAGGAGATATTAAAGCACCAAAAGTGGAAATTGAAGGCCCAGAAATTGAAGGACCTGATGGTGGTTTTAAGATGCCAAAGTTCAAAATGCCATCATTCGGACTGAAGGATCCAAACGTGGAGGGTCCTGATGTTGATGTGAAGGCACCAGATGTGAACATCAAAGCTCCAGAGTTAGACATTGAAGGACCGGATGGAAAAATCAAGGGCCCCAAATTCAAGATGCCATCAATCTCTGGTCCAAAGATTTCTATGCCAGACGTTGACTTCAACCTGAAAGGTCCAAAACTGAAAGGTGATGTTGACGTGTCCGTTCCAAAAGTGGAAGGAGATATTAAAGCACCAAAAGTTGAAATTGAAGGCCCAGACATTGAAGGACATGAGGGTGGTTTTAAGATGCCAAAAATGAAAATGCCATCATTTGGACTGAAGGGTTCAAAAGTGCAGGGTCCAGATGTTGATGTGAAGGCACCAGATGTGAACATCAAAGCTCCAGAGTTAGACATTGAAGGACCGGATGGAAAAATCAAGGGCCCCAAATTCAAGATGCCATCAATCTCTGGTCCAAAGATTTCTATGCCAGACGTTGACTTCAACCTGAAAGGTCCAAAACTGAAAGGTGATGTTGATGTGTCCGTTCCCAAAGTGGAAGGAGATATTAAAGCACCAACAGTTGATATTGAAGGCCCAGAAATTGAAGGCCCTGATGGTGGTTTTAAGATGCCAAAGTTCAAAATGCCATCATTCGGACTGAAGGGTCCAAAAGTGGAGGGTCCAGATATTGATGTGAAAATTCCAAAAGCCAATATTGAAGTTAAGGCACCAGAATTGGACATCAAAGCTCCAGAGTTTGACATTGAAGGACCTGAGGGAAAAATCAAGGGCTCCAAATTCAAGATGCCATCAATCTCTGGTCCAAAGATTTCTATGCCAGACGTTGACTTCAACCTGAAAAGTCCAAAACTGAAGGGTGATGTTGACGTGTCCGTTCCAAAACTGGAAGGAGATATTAAAGCACCAAAATTTGAAATCGAAGGCCCAGACATTGAAGGACATGAGGGTGGTTTTAAGATGCCAAAAATGAAAATGCCATCATTCGGACTGAAGGGTCCAAAAGTGGAGTGTCCAGATGTTGATGTGAAAATCCCTAAAGCCAATATTGAAATTAAGGCACCAGATGTGGACATCAAAGCTCCAGAGTTTGACATTGAAGGACCTGAGGGAAAAATCAAGGGCTCCAAATTCAAGATGCCATCAATCTCTGGTCCAAAGATTTCTATGCCAGACGTTGACTTCAACCTGAAAGGTCCAAAACTGAAAGGTGATGTTGACATGTCCATTCCAAAACTGGAAGGAGATATTAAAGCACCAAAATATGAAATTGAAGGCCCAGACATTGAAGGACATGAGGGTGGTTTTAAGATGCCAAAAATGAAAATGCCATCATTCGGACTGAAGGGTCCAAAAGTGGAGGGTCCAGATGTTGATGTGAAGGCACCAGATGTGGACATCAAAGCTCCAGAGTTAGACATTGAAGGACCTATTGAAGGACATGAGGGTGGTTTTAAGATGCCAAAAATGAAAATGCCATCATTCGGACTGAAGGGTCCAAAAGTGGAGGGCCCAGATGTTGATGTGAAAATCCCTAAAGCCGATATTGACGTTAAGGTATCAGATGTGGACATCAAAGCTCCAGAGTTAGACATTGAAGGACCTGAGGGAAAAATCAAGGGCCCCAAATTCAAGATGCCATCAATCTCTGGTCCAAAGATTTCTATGCCAGACGTTGACTTCAACCTGAAAGGTCCAAAACTGAAAGGTGATGTTGACGTGTCCCTTCCGAAATTGGAAGGAGGAATTAAAGCCCCTGATGTGGATATCAAGGGTCCAGAGCTTGATTTTGAGGGACCTGAGGGAAAAATCAAGGGTCCCAAATTCAAGATACCATCAATTTCTGGCCCAAAACTTTCTATGCCTGATATGGATTTCAACCTCAAAGGTCCAAAACTGAAAGGTGATGCTGACATGTCCGTTCTAAAAGTGGAAGGAGATATTAAACCACCAAAAGTTGAGATTGAAGGCCCAGACATTGAAGGACCTGAGGGTGGTTTTAAGATGCCATAAATGAAAATGCCATCATTCGGACTGAAGGGTCCAAAAGTGGAGGGTCCAGATGTTGATGTGTCAATTCCAAAAGTTGAAGGAGACTTTAAAACACCAGATGTTGCTATCAAGGGGCCAAAACCTGACATAGAATTGCCTGAAGGAAAAATCAAGGGCCCAAATCTCAAGATGCCATCAGTATCTGGTCCTGAAGGCCCTAATGTTCAGATTAATTTTCCAGAAACAAATGTGAAAAAGCCAAAATTCAAAATGCCCAAGTTTGGATTTAAAGGGCCAAAGATTGAAGCACCTGATGTTGATGTCAAACTTCCGAAAGGATCTAAAGTGAAAGGTCAAGCAGGTGTCAGTTTGGAGGGTGATGTCAATATGCCAAAAGTGGAAGTTGATTCTTCAAGTGTAGAAGTTAAAAGTCCAGAGGGAGGATTCAAGATGCCAAAATTTAAAATGCCAAAATTTGGTTTTAAATCACCCAAAGGAGAAATTGATGTCAGTGTACCTAGTGGTGATGTTGGTTTAAATTCACCTGATATTGACATCAAAACTCCTGATCTTGATGTTGAAGGACCTGAGGGACAAATCAAGGGCACCAAATTCAAAATGCCTTCTTTATCTGGTCCAAAGATTTCTATGCCAGATGTAGACCTCAACTTGAAAAGTCCAAAAGTCAAGGGTGATATTGATGTTTCTGGACCCAAGATTTCAGGTGACATAAAGACTCCAAAAGTAGATATTGAAGGACCTGATGTTGATGTAGAGGGCCCAGAAGGTGGCTTCAAGATGCCTAAAATCAAAATGCCATCATTCGGACTAAGAGGTCCTAAAGTGGAGGGTCCAGATGTTGACATCAATCTCCCCAAAGCAGATCTTGACATTAAAGGACCTGAAATTGACATCAAAACTCCTGATCTTGACATAGAAGGACCTGAGGGGAAAATCAAAGGTCCCAAGTTCAAAATGCCTTCAATATCAGGTCCAAAGATCTCTATGCCAGATGTCGACTTAAATCTTAAAGGCCCCAAAGTCAAGGGTGATATGGATGTTTCTGTACCAAAGATTTCAGGGGACATAAAAGCTCCAAAAGTGGACATTGAAGGTCCTGATGTTGAAATAGAGGCCCCGGAAGGTGGCATCAAGATGCCTAAAATAAAAATGCCATCATTTGGATTCAAAGGTCCTAAAGTGGAGGTCCCAGATGTTGACATCAGTCTTCCCAAAGCAGATGTCGACATTAAAGTACCTGAAATTGACATTAAAGATCTTGACATTGAGGGACCTGAGGGAAAAATCAAAGGTCCCAAGTTCAAAATGCCTTCCATATCAGGGCCAAAGATCTCTATGCCAGATGTCAACTTAAAAGGCACCAAAGTCAAGGGTGATGTGGATATTTCTGTACCAAAGATTTCAGGGGACTTAAAACCTCCAAAAGTGGACATTGAAGGTCCTGATGTTGAAATAGAGACCCCGGAAGGTGGCTTCAAGATGCCTAAAATCAAAATGCCATCATTTGGACTCAAAGGTCCTAAAGTGGAGGGCCCAGATGTTGACATCAATCTCCCTAAAGCAGATGTCGACATTAAAGGACCTGAAATTGACATCAAAACTCCTGATATTGACATTGAGGGATCTGAGGGAAAAATCAAAGGTCCCAAATTCAAAATGCCTTCCATATCGGGTCCAAAGATCTCTATGCCAGATGTCAACTTAAATCTTAAAGGCCCCAAAGTCAAGGGTGATATGGATATTTCTGTACCAAAGATTTCAGGTGATCTAAAGGCACCAAAAGTGGACATTGAAGGTCCTGATTTTGATATAGAGGGCCCAGAAGGTGGCATCAAGATGCCTAAAATAAAAATGCCGTCATTTGGACTCAAAGGTCCTAAAGTGGAGGGCCCAGATGTTGATATCAATCTGCACAAAGCAGATGTTGACATTAAAGGACCTGAAATTGACGTTAAAGCTCCTGATCTTGACATTGAAGGACCTGAGGGAAAAGTCAAAGGTCCCAAGTACAAAATGCCTTCCATATCAGGGCCAAAGATTTCTATGCCAGATGTCAACCTAAATCTTAAAGGCCCCAAAGTCAAAGGTGATATGGATGTTTCTGTACCAAAGATTTCAGGTGACCTAAAGGCACCAAAAGTGGACATTGAAGGTCCTGATGTTGATATAGAGGGCCCAGAAGGTGGCATCAAGATGCCTAAAATCAAAATGCCATCGTTTGGACTCAAAGGTCCCAAATTGGAGGGTCCAGATATTGACTTCAGTCTCCCCAAAGCAGATGTTGACATTAAAGGACCTGAAATTGATGGTAAAGCTCCAGATCTTGACATTGAAGGGCCCGAAGGTGGTTTAAAACATGTTAAGCTCCCCAAATTCAGAGGTCCCAACTTTGGAATAAAGCCTTCAGGTGGCAGTCTTTCAATGCCTGAAAAAGATATAGGGGCGAGTATTAATGTCAAAAGCCCTGATGTCAATATCAGTGGACCAGATGCAAATATCAAGGTGCCAAAAATGAAAAAATCTAAATTTTCGCTTGGAGTTAAGAGCCCAAAATTGGATGCAGATATTCCTGATGCTGGTGGTAGTGTAGAAGGGCCTGATATGAACATAGATGTGAAAGGAAAGAAGGGTAAATTCAAGTTGACTAAAGGGAAGGGGAAGTCTAAAACCTTTGATGGCGATATCAAGTTGGAGACAAATGAACCTGACGTACAGATGAAGTCAACCAAAGTAAAGAAACCTTTTTTTGGAAAGTTACATTTTCCTGATGTGGAATTTGACATCAAATCTCCAAAAGTTAAAGGTAGTTCATCTGCATCTGGAACTATAAAATCTAATGTTGATTTGCCTTCTGCAAGCCTTAGAACTGATATTCAGACACCAGATGCAAGTTTGGGTGGTCCCGATTTCAAAACAAAAGGGGAAAAAATCAAAATGCCAAAAGTCGGCATCTCTGGCTCTGAGATAAAAACTCCTGAACTGGATGTTAGAGATGCAACATTAGATCTTCCGCAAAAGTATTTTCATTCCCCAGATGTCAGTGTAGCAGGATCAGGCATTAATGGAAAAGGCAGGGCTAACATTGACATAGAAGGTAAAATACAGGATGTTAAGTTGACAGTGCCTGCTGTAAATGTCCATGGTGGTGCTTTAGATGCTGATTTAAATCTCACTGAACAAAAAGGAGTAAAAGGGAGCATTGAAATACCAGGCTTTAATGTAAGAGGACAAAAAGGAGAGACTGCAAGTGGGTTAGACATGAAGCCAGATGCATCATTATCTGGTGTGATGGAGTACCAAGATGTTAATGTAACCTTTCCCAAAATCAAAGTACCAAAGTTTGGTGTTGCATTGCCTAAAGTAGGTGGAGGAGAGATGGGAGTTGATGTAGGTTCATGTGAATTGGCTGCTGGTTCTAAAGTTACTTCCCAAAGTCTGGAAATGGAGAACACTGATAGGAAAAGCAGTGGTGGAAAAGTGAAAGTCAAAATGCCAAAATTATTTGCCAAATCTAAATCGAAAGGTGGTAGTGCAGCTGATCTTACTGTTGAGGGAGAAGAAATTGATGTTACCAGTAAAGGTGGTGCAAAGGTGTCTAAGGAGTTGAGCCTTAGTTCTGGGGAATTGACACGTGGCAAGTTAGCAGTAGAGGGAAGTTCTGGGTTTAAAGTTTCACCAAAGAGTAAATCTGCCTCCCTTGACCTCTTCAAAAAAACACAACATCACTCATCCTCTGTAAGTGATGAGGGAGGTTTAGCTTCCCCTGTTTCTGCTGAAGGCCACTTACAGGCAGAGGGTGGCAACGTTTCAGTTGATGTTGGAGAAAAGGTTAAAGGCAAAAAAGGAAAGTTGAAGTTTGCTACAATTGGAGGTTTTAGCTCAAAAAGTAAAGGTTCATATGAAGTGACAGATGAAAGTGAGGTTAGGATTGAGGGTGCTGGTGGAGTTGCTCAGTCTTCAAAGAAGTCCAGAATGTCATCATCATCTAGCAGTGATAGTGGTTCAAAAAGCAGTTTTCGGCTACCACATCTTGAAATAGCGGTTTCGCCAAAGAAATAGTTTTCACGCTATTATCTATACACAGTACATTCACATACACACTTTTTTCAGTCTAGATGACTGTGTAAATCTGTCTTTCATTTAAGCAATGGTGCACTGCCATATTGACTGTTTCTTCAATTCCCACATATGTTCTTTACAGGCATTGATATATATATGTATTTTTTTAAAATCACAATTTAACTGTAAATAAAAGAAAACTGTTATGTAATTTTAATTTTGTTTTGTAGATAGGAAATGCAAATCCAATCCAACAATGTGCGTAGTTAATATAAAAATCATCTGTCATCTGATAACTTGTTCTATTTATGTACCTTTGAAAATGTTTGAAACTCTGTTGTCCTTTCTAAAATTGTCTGGACACATTTAAATGCAAGAGGAATGATTTTAGTTAGATTTGAAAAGATGTTAAGACTTAATCTTCACATATATATTTAGTGCTGTATCATATGTACTTATCACATATGAATAACTAATTTGAGCAGCGATAAACCAGATCTTATTAGTGAGCACAATGAAGTTTTAAGGGCTGTACAAACTGTAAATAAATTGATTCAAAACGAATACATGGGATAACATAACTTTGTGTCCCAAATATTATCACAGTTCAGATATTATGGAATTTATTATTAGAGATTATAATCTTCTAAAGTATTTATATGTAAGACTCTTTTTCAATGATTGCTTGAGTCTCTTTAAAATGCACAACAGGAAGCAGCTGGCAAAAGCTGTGACATGCTTTGATTTTTAATGGTTTCTAAGGCATTTTTTTCTTGGTTATATTTTCCACATTTCTTTACATCCGGATGACTCTCTCTCTTCCTCTCACTAAATTTATGAAATGTTGTGCTGTCATCATGTGGTGATATAACTACAGGAATGCTAATGCCAACGGTAAAACATTAATATTTTTGAAAAGGCATAAAATGTGCATTGCTCTTGTAAATAATGGGACATTTAGGCTGCAAGTTTCTAACTTTTTTTTCCTTGTGTCATTTGCAAAAGTTTAAATAAAGTGATCAAATATCAGTACTTGTTTTGAATGACTCATTTGTGTTATAGTGCTAAAAATGTACATGATTGCACAAATCCTCTGTATTGTAATGTAAAGCCACATACAGAACAGTTTTGTTGGAACAGAACATTAACATCACAGAACTTCTAAAAACAAGGTTGCATTTCTTCAACCGTGTTGAATCTGACCATTGTGCTTTTAGCTGTTTTTTTAGCTAATACTTTGATAGGAGCCAACACCAAGAAAACAGGAAATGGGCTTTCCTGTCCTGCTTCTTCAAACCAGTACTAAGGAAGGAAATGATCAGGAAATTCCTTTGAGGGAGGAAAGTGTGGTTTGTTTTGTATGCAAATATTCATTTGCAGAACTGGGATGAGAAAACCGGTCATCCATGTTATGGTTAGCTTGAAATCTATGACAAGCAACATATAAGCTGAGAGGAATAGAGGCAAGGACCCATATTGTTCATATTTTGTTTGAAAGGTAAGACAAATTATTGTCTTTTACTACTGACATTGCAAGGAATTGAGTGGATTAGGCTGAATTTATTTTGTTTTTGAACATGTTTGATTCTGAGACAATCTTATGCTGATTCATGCATACAAATTCCCAAATTTTTAGTGTACTGATTTTCTTATGATTCCTGGTCACTCCAAGTTTGTCAAATTTTAGGAGGGGCAATATCATATAGAAATTATTAGAAGAAAACCGGTTTCCAATTTGTATGCTTCGCATCACAGAATTTTTGCTCAGATATGCCTGTTTGTTAATCAAAGCCATGAAAAGAAAAACTACATGTATTACGGTAGTAATTTAAATAAATAAATAAAATTGGGAGTAAAAAAAAAAAAACCTGCATTAAGAGCCAGTGGGTTTGGAGTGTTGTTCCTTCATCATTGCTCCTTCTTGCAGCTGGATATAGAATTATGATTATTTTTGATTGTGGTTTGCAGGTAGGAAGAATCTATCAGGTAGGACAGATGTTTGTGAATAATACAGTGAGCAGCAGTCAAGGCTGACATCTCTTGTATCAAAGAGACTTAAACAGATGGTGTCCTTGACTCCTACAGTAATAAGAGGCTATGCATTTATTTCAGCTCATACTAGTGTGTACTAGTTTTGCCGCAACCAAATTATTTACCAATATATGTCTTATTCCTTGTTTTCCAAGGATGTATATATTTAAATGATTAATTCACCCAAAAATGAAAATTCTGTCATTAATTACTCACCCTCATGTCGTTCCAAACTTGTAAGACCTTCGTTCATCTTCGGAACACAAATTAAGATATTTTTGATGGAATCTGAGAGCTGTCTGACCCTGCATAGACAGCAAGGGTACTACCACGATCAAGCTACGAGAATACTTTTTGTGCGCAAAAAAAAACAAACAAAAAAAACACTTTATTCAACAATTCGTCTCCTCCGCATCACCCT